TCAACTGCGTTTTTACTCTCGATTTTAAGATTTTCGCTCATTTTATCAAAAATTAGGTCAATTTTTTACGGAAAACCCCTCAACGTCAAACCTTTTGGGTCCAGTTTTTAACTGGTGTGGGGAGCATTCTCATCCAAAATCCGCGTGAGTAACCCCCTCCCCCGGTTCTTTTATTAAAAAAATGGCCAAGTTCGAAACCACATCATGTAACGACTGAGCTATTGCGATTTACGACGGGACTATAGAGAAAACAGGAATTAGAAGGATCTTCACTTCTGGTGTTAATCTAGTTAACGCTAATTCGCAATCGCAAACCTCGTAACATCGTGTGTTAACTTAGTATTGTAAACGTCATCACTTCGTGTGATAATCAGATATGACAAACGTCATCACTTCTTGTGCTAAGGCTGTTATGTGAAACGTCATTACTCCATGTGCTATCAATACACTCACAGTCCCTCTTTCACGGACTGTGTTGCATATTCCGGCGGTAGCGCCACAATGAAGTCCAATACATCATGTTTAGACTTAGTTGTAATACAAAACTTAAGTCAGTCCGATATCATTCAACAACTTCCATATACAGTTATTCAACAGATTCAAGTTTTTACTGGCGAATACGCCCACTGAAAAGAAACTACACAAAGAACAGGAATGAAATGTACTGCCACTGCGGAGAAGAACTGCGAGAATACCGCGAGACTTTGCAGCTTCTCGACGTTTTGCGAGATTGCTAGTTTCCATGATTTTTATCACACACACTGTAGTCAATATGATTACTGTAAGATATTTTTTTTTCATTTTAATTTGTTAACACTTCTATTTATCTCTGGGTACAGTGGTGTGTGTACGGGTTCGGTTGTCCCCCACCGCAGCCCTGCGTACAGTGGTGTGTGTACGGGTTCGGTTGTCCCCCACCGCAGCCCTGCGTACAGTGATGTGTGTACGGGTTCGGTTGTCCCCCACCGCAGCCCTGCGTACAGTGGTGTGTTTACGGGTTCGGTTGTCCCCCACCGCAGCCCTGCGTACAGTGGTGTGTGTACGGGTTCGGTTGTCCCCCACCGCAGCCCTGCGTACAGTGGTGTGTGTACGGGTTCGGTTGTCCCCCACCGCAGCCCTGCGTACAGTGGTGTGTGTACGGGTTCGGTTGTCCCCCCCGCAGCCCTGCGTACAGTGGTGTGTGTACGGGTTCGGTTGTCCCCCCCCCGCAGCCCTGCGTACAGTGGTGTGTGTACGGGTTCGGTTGTCCCCCACCGCAGCCCTGCGTACAGTGGTGTGTGTACGGGTTCGGTTGTCCCCCACCGCAGCCCTGCGTACAGTGGTGTGTGTACGGGTTCGGTTGTCCCCCACCGCAGCCCTGCGTACAGTGGTGTGTGTACGGGTTCGGTTGTCCCCCACCGCAGCCCTGCGTACAGTGGTGTGTGTACGGGTTCGGTTGTCCCCCACCGCAGCCCTGCATACCTCCATAGAAAATGTCCAGGAGTGCACCGGAATTGGTGTTCAAGTTAAAAATAAGTAGTTCCCAGCCGAAATCGGTTGACATGACGATATAGTTATCCGTAACAACCATTACAAAATTATCTGAAACTGGATTGTCCTAAAAAAACGACTAGTAAAGACGGAAAAATTGTACCGAGTAATCATCCACCAAATGCCGCCATTTTTAATTTAATTCAGGTTTATTCAACCGTTTGTTTTTAGGGCAAAGTAGACGATTTCATCCACAATTGGACTCCGAACTGGGAGTGCTGGATATATGTGTTAATCGCTCCTCGTTTTTAGTACCTAGGCATACTATTTCATTAAAAAAGTTATATATTTCAAAGTCCCGGACTTTGTCTATGGAAGTACGCAGGGCTGTGGTGTAGTGGGGACATCTATCAACCGAACGCGTCCCCGTACACACAGCACTGTACGCAGGGCTAGTTATCACTGTGTTTCTATGAAACATATAGCTATATCTGTAATATATCATATCATTATATGAAACGTTGCTTAGTAACAAAACCTCCCGATATTGGTTCAATAAAATAAGTATCCTGTTCGTCGTTTATGATATTTGCTAACTTGAAATATTATAATATTGTCTTACCTTTGTTACATGGCACTGTTTCTTGTGTCATTTATGGGTCGATATACCTAAGATGATACCCCGGATAATAGTACTGTGGGGGCATACCATTTACTTACGTGAGTGGCTCTAACTGTAATTTGGAGTTAGTGAATTACGGAGTAGAGAAGTACGACAGTAATAGACAAAGATTTTCTCCGAACATATTAGCGACAGAAAATAGGACTTCCTAAACTTGTCGGGTGTTGCATTTTTGTACACGAAATCTAGAATTATATTAACCTATGTGTCTATTTCATTTTAAGAAATGATTTATGATATACAATAAATTAGGTACAATTTAAATTTAAAGTGGTGAAATGTTATAGTTTCTACGTTAGTATATGTGTGTACTTTTGATGAATTGAAATGAGAATAAACCTTACCCGTAAATATTCATAATTGTTAATGGCTGGTAGACCTAGCGTGTCTTGGTCGGTTTACGGTCGGAGCAATTTATTTATTTATAGAAGATGTCTCATGAGTGACCCAATAGAACATGCGATTTATTAAATTTGTGAGCGCGTATTCATAACATCGTAGAGCGTTATGCATCGTTTTCGTCACGGTATAAAAGATCACCAATCATGAACACCGATTACTGTTAGTTTACGCTATTGCGATTACAAAATATATAGTTACTTTGTAGGCATCACTATATTCATTGTTTCGGAGATGAATTTGTGACATTATTACTAATTTTGAAATCAATTCAAACCGTGGCCGTATCACAGTCCTTGAAAATTCGCCACTAGATATGACATTGGTGAAACCACGTGGTGAAACACATCTATGCACAGAGGAGAGACAAAGTTGAGGTGGGGAGAATTTGAAATGATATATAGGCTGCATTATTTCTCATACATGTATTTCAGTCGACATCAGGAACT